AAAAAAAAAAACAGCAGTTTTTTCTTATTTTTAACAGATTTTTTTCTTTTTTTTTTCTGCTCAAAAAAAAAAGAGACAACTGATTTTTTTTTCTTTTTTTCTAAAGTAGTTTACATACTTTATTGTTTAAACTGAATTGAACACAAAAACAATGACAGAAACACGAAACAGATGAAAAAAAGAGTATAAAAAAAATTGAAGAGAAGAAGAAGAAAAAAAAAAACAGAAAGCAACATATGAAATAAATTGTTTAAACTTTTTTTTGGTGGTCTTAAAACAGTTCTGATTTTTGTTCACCACCAAAAGTTGATGAAACATCAGTGCTGAAGTAATTACTGCACTTGTTGATTAAAGTCATTTATGATAAAATAATTTGTGGTTTTCAGATATTTGACGATACAGTTCAATTTGTTTCTTCGTGGATTATAGTTGTACTTTTTTTTTGGCTAATAATATTTAATATTTTATTATTGCTTTATTTAATGTTGCTGCTGAATCTGTTGTTTATAGATAAGCTATTTTACGTTTGCTTAGATTAACAGCTACTATACTTTCCGGGATTCAGTGTATCATCAAAATAGTCAAACTGTCTTTTGCTATCTTTTAGGTTTATCGTTTAGACTTTTTTCCAATTTTGTTTACCTGTTGCTGAGCAATAAATGTTGACGAAAATTTATGGAACAAATATTAATGATGTTTATGTTGAAAAGTTAAATACTGGCAAGAAAAGAAACGCTCTTTAAACTGAACAATAGATCAAATGGTGAAAAAGGAAAAGAACCAAAATACAACCAAATCTGTATGCAAATTGTCTAAGTAGTTATAAAAAATGTTTTTCTTTCTTTTTTTCTTGCTCTTTTATCAATCTGCCAATTTTTGTGTCTTTACAATAAATTTTTTTTTCTGCTTGTCTAAAAAAAGAAAAATGTGCAAGAAAAAAAAAAAGATGAAAATTTAGAAGAATAAATTTATAATTTTTAACTGATTTGGTAAACTAGGTAGAAAAATTGATTTGTGTGAACGACTGAATTCGGGTGAGCACAACTACAAAGAACAGATTCTGGGACGATGTAAACGAATTTTGATATAATAAATTGACAATAACAATTTTTTAATCATTGATTTTGAATGGTACTTTTGTGACAGAACAATTGATTTTTATTATTAAAAAACAAAAGATTTAAAAAGAAACTTTAATTGCTTTTTTTTTCTGATATTGTTTTATTACAACTGACTTTCCATGCTTTTGTTCTTAGGGACAAAGAATTTTTTATTGCAACTTTGAAAGGAAAAAAGAGGAAAAAGAACAAATTTATTTTTGGTCACTAAACTTTCAACAATATCAATTTTTTATGCATATTTCTATGCGTGCAAATGTCTGTATCGGTGTCAGTGTCGGCATTGCTATGCATATCCAATTGTTTGCAAACAATCTGTGCTAGTTCGGTCTAATAAAATGAGCGTCAGATAGACCAAGAATAAGCAAATAGAAGAGCAAAAAGAGAAGAAGAAGGAAGAGGAGAAAAGACAGAAGGCAAAGTAGGACTATATATTCTATAAAATTTTCCAACTTTTCCTTAACCTTGTGTTATTTGTTGTAACGCTGAGCGTACTGCCAAACGAAAGGGCGTGAAGAAAACAGAAATGAACTGAGTGACGAAGACGATGTTTGTGAAAAAAAAAAATAATCTATCCATTGATTCTTGTTATTTTATTTTATTCTACCTTCAATTTTTTATTCATCCAATCTTTGTTATGCTTAATTTGTCTTCTTTAGTAATTTCAGTATTTTTTGCTGTGTTTTTCAACTGTATTTAGCGGGTTAGCAATGTTTATCGCATAATTTTCTTGTTTGCAACAAAAAAAAAATACAAAGAATAAAAAAGTATAGTCATAAATTTTATTTTGAAAGAATACGCTGTTCTCAGAATCACTGTTGATAAGAAACAGTTCTGGCGATTACTTTTGAAAAAGCATTTAAAAACAAAAAAAAAAAAAAAAAGATCGAGGAAGATATGGGAAGAAAAACAAAATTGTTAGGTGAGGTTTTTGACTGCTTACAATTAACTAAACGTTGCTATAGCGACAGTTTTAGAATCAAAATGAGATACTCAGATTTGTCTATGTAATCGGTTTAAAAAAGCGATTAGAGATTAGGAAAAAAAAAAGAGAAAATTGCAGTAACTAATGTAAATGAATATTCTTTTTAAAAGAAAATATTTTGTATGCAATACTTTTAGTGAATTTATGTTTACCTGAAGTAAATACTTAAATACACAAGTGTGCTAAGTTTAAGAGCAATCAAATTGATTAATAAGGTTTAGTTCAGGTTTTTTTTTAAAACCGTTTACATTTTTAAAAATGAGGTTAATTAATAATAATAGAAGAAAAAGTGAGGAGAAAAATGTAGAATTGTTTTCTGGAACAATGAACAATGTACAGTAATTTTAAATAGTATTTGGAAAAGTCAGCAAGCGAAATATTATAGATGCTATGTGTTGCATAAAATTTATCTACTATTTTATAAATTCATTGACTTTTAAAAATGAAAACACCACTACAAAAAGTTGATAAAG